TATTGAGAATACAACAAAATGTTCTCCAAATGTTCATGTTGTCCATATCCTCCAATAGGGGACAGTAAAACTGATTTAAACACATTTCTCTATTCGCGTCCCGTCTATTTGGGAAACTTTAAAACAAACTTCTTCGAATATAATCGTCGAACATTATCACCGATAAAGTATAACAGCAACAAAAAACTGTTCACTTCTGTGACAACCGGTGGTCGTGGTGGTTCCAGAGGAACCTCCTGCACCATGTCTGCACCACAACATCAACAAATGGGTCATAGTTGAATGAAATTTTACCAATATTAATAGAAAAAGGAAAGAAAATAAAAAACAACAACAACCATTTGCAGTTGTAGTTGCTGTTGTTGTTTGTTTGGCGGGTGGGTTATTTGTAGTTGTTGTTCCTCCGTTTTGCATGTTATGTGATGCTTGTTAAGAGGTTATGCCAGCTGATATGTTATGCAAATAAAAACAAGAATACCAAAAACAACAACAAGAACCACCACATTTTATGACGGTTGTTATATGCCAGACCAGACAACACCGGCGCTGCCATAGACCAAACAAAGTAGACCAGAGTTCATGTTCTTGGTAGGAACAACATGGATGACGACGGTTATGACGATGATTATTACCCAACTAGCTATTCTATTTATCTATCAGCTAGAACCAACAAACAGAAACAACAAACACACACACGCAAATAACATGGACAATTTTGTGGTGGTGTTTTACATAGTTGTGAATGTAAAGGTTTTTCTTGTGTGAGTGTGTGTGTTTGTAAGATAATTTTTGAAATAATTACAAATAAATTTCGAAAGGGTAAAATTTTTTGGGAATGATGGGAATTAATATTTTAAATGTGATGCATACTTTTAGGGTTATCATATGGTAGAGATATTATTCTTATATATTATCTTAAAAATATTTAATTTTTTTTTTTAAATCCACGCCTTGGGAGAGTCTTAAAAAATATTTTTAAAAAATCCACGCCTTGGGAAGAGTCTTAAAAAATATTTTTAAAAAATCCACGCCTTGGGAAGAGTCTTAAAAAATATTTTTAAAAAATCCACGCCTTGGGAAGAGTCTTAAAAAATATTTTTAAAAAATCCACGCCTTGGGAAGAGTCTTAAAAAATATTTTTAAAAAATCCACGCCTTGGGAAGAGTCTTAAAAAATATTTTTAAAAAATCCACGCCTTGGGAAGAGTCTTAAAAAATATTTTTAAAAAATCCACGCCTTGGGAAGAGTCTTAAAAAATATTTTTAAAAAATCCACGCCTTGGGAAGAGTCTTAAAAAATATTTTAAAAAATCCACGCAGATTCCCTGTCTTCAGCTCAGCTATAGAGACCAGATAGCTTTCATTTCACTTAGATACACTTCATTTAGCTTCCCATCTGATGTTCTGTAAAGACTCCTGTCCATATTGTCTAGCCTGTAATCATCTTTGTATGCATTTGCCATTGTCTGATACATGCTTTTAGGCTCTATATGTGCAATGCATAGCTTTTGATCACATTTCGAATATGTGTGTGATGCATACTTTTAGGCGCTATATATGAAATTTACATTTCATCATGCCTGCAAAATTTATTTCTCTCTTTGGAAAAAATTTTATTTTATCTGACAATCAAATTTCACATGTAGGATTACAATGCGGATAACAACAAACGAACGAACAAAAAAAACAAGTAGCACAAAAAACTTTTGCCATTTGCGTTTAACCGACAATCATAAAAACAAACACCGCCGAGCCCGGAAACCAACCGACTACAACAATAATAAATTTTCCATAAATTACATTTGTTACACGAGGATAATACAAAAAACAGACAACAACAAAAATCGACAAAAAAATAAAATTTTGCCGAACCGAGAGATAACAAAGCCATTGTGGATGGATAGACAGCAGACAGAACAAAAAATTACAAAAAAAAATAAACCTTCATAACCAATGACAGCAGTTGAATTCAAATTGAAAACAAGAAAAAAAAAAATCGAGAAAATCCACAGAATCCTAGACAGATTGAGGATTGCATTGGGTTCAAATATCAACACATCAAACAGCCACAAAATGGAAGCGACACATTCACATTGTTATGATTTCTGAAAGGTCCTTAAAAATTGATTTATTTGGTTCGGCGAACGAACACATCACGTTTGGTAAATATTATCAAATTTATTTTGAAAACGCTACAATCCAATTCAATTCGGAGGGGGAGATAGTTTGTTCTTTCTTTTTCGAATGGGATTGAAAGGTAAAATATCAAATCCTTTTTTTTTTGGAAATATAAATATGAAATTTCAAACAACCAGGTGTTATTATGCCAGAGACCAGGTCATATAACAGCAGTTTATAGAACGGAAATATTCTGAAAACACACACCAAACGCTGGGAAATCAAATAACGGAAAAATACAAGCCAAACATAACCATAAAAGAAAATCATCGAAGTTCCGTTGCTAAAAAGCCTGGCGGTACTTTAGGGTGGCATTTTGTATTTCTAATGGGCAACTTTTTCCGCCAACGGCTGGAATAGTGTTTTCAAATGGTCAATAAAAAAACATAGAAAACCCTTTCAGGTTGTTTTTATTTCCTCGTAATGGCTTGTAAATGTAAATTGTAATGTGTGGTGCATACTATTAGGCGCTTGGATTTGTTTTTGCTTATTAATTCATGTATCAATTCCGATTTCAATAAAAATTATATTTAATTGTATTTCCCAAGACCTTAAAAAAAATATTTTTTTTTTTAAAAATCCACGCCTTGCTAAGAGTCCTTTAAAAAATATTTTTTTTAAATCCTTTAAAAAATATTTTTTTAAATCCTATAAAAAATATATTTTTTTTAAATCCTTTAAAAAATATATTTTTTTAAATCCTTTAAAAAATATATATTTTTTATCCTTTAAATTTTTTTTTTTTTAATCCTTTAAAAAATATTTTTTTTAATCCACGACTTGGCAATTATTCTAAAAAATATTTTTTTTAAATCCTTTAAAAAATATATTTTTTTAAAAATCCTTTAAAAAATATATTTTTTTAAAAATCCTTTAAAAAATATTTTTTTTTTTAAATACGTCAAAAAATATTTTTTTAAAAAATCCACGCCTTGCTGAGAGTCCTTTAAAAAATATTTTTGTAAAAAATCCACGCCTTGCTGAGAGTCCTTTAAAAAATATATTTTTTTAAAAATCCACGCCTTGCTAAGAGTCCTTTAAAAAATATTTTTTTTTAAAAATCCACGCCTTGCTAAGAGTCCTTTAAAAAATATTTTTTTAAAAAATCCACGCCTTGCTAAGAGTCCTTTAAAATTTTTTTTTTTTTAAATCCACGTCTTGCTGAGAGTCCCTTAAAAATATTTTTTTTTAAAATCCACGCCTTGCTGAGAGTCCTTTAAAAATATTTTTTTAAAAAATCCACGCCTTGCTAAGAGTCCCTTAAAAATATTTTTTAAAAAATCCTTCCTAAGAGTCCTTTAAAAATATTTTTTAAAAAATCCTTCCTAAGAGTCCCTTAAAAAGTATTTTTTTTTTTAAATCCACGCCTTGCTAAGAGTCCCATAAAAAGCATAAAAAGTATTGCTAAGAGTCCCTTAAAAATATTTTTTTAAAAAATCCACGCCTTGCTAAGAGTCCCCTTAAAAAATATTTTTTTAAAAAGTCCACGCCTTGCTAAGAGTCCCTTAAAAACTACTTTTTTCAAAAAAATCCACGCCTTGCTAAGAGTCCCTTAAAAATATTTTTTAAAAAATCCACGCCTTGTTAAGAGTCCTTTAAAAAATATGTTTTTTTTTTTTAAAAAATCCACGCCTTGCTAAGAGTCCTTTAAAAAATATTTTTTAAAAAATCCACGCCTTGCTAATAGTCCTTTAAAAAAATATTTTTTTTAAATCCACGCCTTGCTAAGAGTCCTTTAAAAAATATTTTTTTTTTAATCCACGCCTTGCTGAGAGTCCCTTAAAAACTACTTTTTTTCAAAAAAAATCCACGCCTTGCTAAGAGTCCCTTAAAAATATTTTTTAAAAAATCCACGCCTTGCTGAGAGTCCCTTAAAAACTACTTTTTTTCAAAAAAAAAATCCACGCCTTGCTAAGAGTCCCTTAAAAATATTTTTTAAAAAATCCACGCCTTGCTAAGAGTCCCTTAAAAAATATTTTTTTTTTAAAAATCCACGCCTTGCTGAGAGTCCTTTAAAAAATATTTTTTTAAAAAATCCACGCCTTGCTGAGAGTCCTTTAAAAAATATTTTTTTAAAAAATCCACACCTTGCTCAGAGTTCTTTAAAAAATATTTTTTTTTTAAAAATCCACGCCTTGCTAAGAGTCCCTTAAAAAATATATTTTAAAAAAAAAAATCCACGCCTTGCTAAGAGGCCTTTAAAAAATATTTTTTAAAAAATCCACGCCTTGCTAAAAGTACATTAAAACATATTTTTTTTTAAATTCACGCCTTGCTAAGGGTCCTTTAAAAAATATTTTTTTAAAAAATCCACGCCTTGCTAAAAGTACATTAAAACATATTTTTTTTTAAATTCACGCCTTGCTAAGGGTCCTTTAAAAAATATTTTTTTAAAAATCCACGCCTTGCTAAGAGTCCCTTAAAAAATATTTTTTTTTTAATCCATAAAGACTGCTTTCAGATCGCCTACAGATTATTGTTTCAAATAGCCGATAGAGTAGTTTCAGTCCATCTATAAAGAATTTCTTATTATATTTCGTTTCTACCTTGAGGCCCATGCATTTTTCAGATCATTATCAATGTGTGGTGCATACTTTTAGGCACATATTGCAAATTGTTATTTAATTCTTAGAAACAAATTCGTAATTTTTAAAAACGTCGATTTCGAAAAGCATCACACATTCTTCTATTGAGCCATTTGCAATGCAATTGGAGTAACTGTTTAATGTGTGATGCATACTTTTAGGTGCCGACATTTTAATATTTGTGGTTTTTTTAAAAGACCTCGCCTTATTTGAAAAAAAGAAATCTGTGTGGACTTACCTCTACTGAAATTGTAAACAATGGCGCATGCACCGGACCAGTTTGTGACTCCAACTTATATACCAAACCATGCCGTAGCTCATTCAGCATGGCCACTGTATTTTTGGGTTGGGGTACACGTTCCTTGCTGGTTCGCGGTTTCTTCTTGGGGGTTCCTGGAAATAAGTTGGGGTTAAAATAAACAATTAATTAAAGAATGTCAAGGCTACTTATTAATCTAGAAAATAATCGTGAGATCTCAAAACGCGGGTCGGCATTTTTTCTATAAAAAAAAAAATAGGTGAAGCCCCCGATCGACTTTTTTTGTTAGAAAAAAACTACGCGCGTCCCCTAATGGACTTTTTTCTACAGAAAAACTTCATGAGACCACCGATCGACTTTTTTCTATAGAAAAGAATTCGTGGGGCTTCCGATCGACTTTTTTTCTATAGAAAAAAATTCGTGAGGCTTCCGATCGACTTTTTTTCTATAGAAAAAAATTCGTGAGTCTTCCGATCGACTTTTTTTCTATAGAAAAAAATTTGTGAGGCTTCCGATCGACTTTTTCTCTATAGAAAAAAATTCGTGACGCCCCCGATTGACTTTTTTTCCATACAAAAAATTCGTGAGTCCACCGAAAAAAATTCGTGAGGCTTCCGATCGACTTTTTTTCTATAGAAAAAAATTTGTGAGGCTTCCGATCGACTTTTTCTCTATAGAAAAAAAATCGTGACGCCCCCGATTGACTTTTTTTCCATACAAAAAATTCGTGAGTCCACCGAAAAATATTCGTGAGGCTTCCGATCGATTTTTTTTTCTATAGAAAAAAAATTCGTGAGGCCAGCGATCGACCTTTTTTCTATAGAAAAAAATTCGTGAGGCCAGCGATCGACCTTTTTTCTATAGAAAAAAATTCGTGAGGCCAGCGATCGACCTTTTTTCTATAGAAAAAAATTCGTGAGGCCAGCGATCGACCTTTTTTCTATAGAAAAAAATTCGTGAGGCCAGCGATCGACTTTTTTTCTATAGAAAAAAATTCGTGAGGCCAGCGATCGACTTTTTTTCTATAGAAAAAAATTCGTGAGGCCAGCGATCGACTTTTTTTCTATAGAAAAAAATTTGCGAAGCCAGCGATCGACTTTTTTTCTCTAGAAAAAATTCGTGAGGCCAGCCATCGACTTTTTTCCTCTAGAAAAAAATTCGTGAGGCAAGCGATCGACTTTTTTCCTCTAGAAAAAAAATTCGTGAGGCCAGCGATCGACTTTTTTTCTATAGAAAAAAATTCGTGAGGCCAGCGATCGACTTTTTTCTACAGAAAAAAATAGTGAGGCCAAAAAAAAATTTATAGAAAAAAAAGTCGTGAGACCCCCAATCGTCTCTTTTTTATAGAAAAGAAATCGTAAAACCAATGGTGGACATTTTTTCTATAGAAAAACATCGTGAGACCTCTGGTCGACTTTTTTCTATAGAAAAAAATTCATGAGAAGTCTGTTCGACATTTTTCTATATAAAAAAAATTCGTAAGACCTCTGGTCGACATTTTTCCTATAGAAAAAATCGTGAGCCTCCTGGTCGACATTGTTGTTAATAAAAAAAATATTGTAAGACCTCTGGTCGACACTGTTTTTCTATAGAAAATAATTCGTGAGACTTCCGACATTTTTCGATAGGAAAAAAATCGTAAGACCTCTGGGTAACACTTTTTTTCTTTGGAAAAAAAATCGTGGGACATTTGTTCAATATAAAAATAATACGTATGTGAGACCTCTAGCTTCAGAAGGGACTTCCCCGGTAAATACATTGTCGGCATTGTCGATAAATCATAACAACAACAAAAACGATGACACATGTATACAAAAATAATATTGTTGTTTACAACAACAATTTCTACACGCGAATACGATAACAAAACAAAAACAAAAAAAGTTGCTCAGATTGCAGAGAGACCCTAATTACCAAGAAATTCCAAATAGAGATCCATTTCTCTGCGTTTTATTTCATCAGTATCAGCAGAAGCAGCTGGCTCTTTACCCCTCATCTCAGAGCGCCTCTCATTTCCAATAAATTCCATATAGAGATCCATTTCTCTTCGTTTTAATTCATCAGAATCAATTGGAGCAGTTCTCTTTATACCCCTCTTTTCACTTGATACCCCATCATTCCCCCATAGAGTGTTCTCCGCTTCATCGATATTGCTCTCCGATGCATCGATGAGTAGATGTTCTCTTTTTGAAAATTGTTGAAACATCGATTTTATTTCATTGATCTCTTTGGTTAGATTATTTATTTTCATTAATAATTTGCAACACATTTTTGCACACCCCTCGGATTTTGGCATATTTTCTACGTCACGGCCACATTGTTTATGAAATTCCATGCGACAATTGTGGCACACAAATTCACGAGCTTCTTTCATATTTTTTTTCTAACAAAGAAAACCACAACGCGACGACGCTTCTTTAGACAATGTTTCGAACTGTCAACGTTCCGATTTCATACTGAAGCAAAACGCAAGTTGGGAGAGTGTTCAGACAATGCAAATGGAATTCCATTTAATAAACAGAACAATTCGGAAAGAGATATTGATTATGACGTAGTTAAATGATTTAGAATAAAATAGGGCTGTCGATATGGGATTTGGAGGAGTTTTCTTAAAAAATACCTCAATAAAAAAACCGATCAAATGTCTCACGATTTTTTCTAAAGCAAAAAATAAAACAAATATAGATAAGAAGTCTAATTAATTTGTTTTTCTATAGCAAAAATATAAACGGAAAATCTCACGAATTTTTCCTATAGAAAATTGACTATTGAAAAAAAATCTTTCGGAAGCCTCACGATTTTTTTCTATAGAAAAAAAGTCGTTCGGTGGACTCACGATTTTTTTTTCTACAGAAAAAAAAAGTCGTTCGGTGGACTCACGATTTTTTTTTCTACAGAAAAAAAAAGTCGTTCGGTGGACTCACGATTTTTTTTTCTACAGAAAAAAAAGTCGTTCGGTGGACTCACGATTTTTTTTTCTACAGAAAAAAAAGTCGTTCGGTGGACTCACGATTTTTTTTTCTACAGAAAAAAAAAGTCGTTCGGTGGACTCACGATTTTTTTTCTACAGAAAAAAAGTCGTTCGGTGGACTCACGATTTTTTTCTACAGAAAAAAAAAGTCGTTCGGTGGACTCACGAAATTTTTTCTATAGAAAAAAAGTCGTTCGGTGGACTCACGAAATTTTTTCTATAGAAAAAAAGTCGTTCGGTGGACTCACGAAATTTTTTCTATAGAAAAAAAGTCGTTCGGTGGACTCACGAATTTTTTTCTATAGAAAAAAAGTCGTTCGGTGGACTCACGAATTTTTTTCTATAGAAAAAAAGTCGTTCGGTGGACTCACGAATTTTTTTCGATAGAAAAAAAGTCGTTCGGTGGACTCACGAATTTTTTTCTATAGAAAAAAAGTCGTTCGGTGGACTCACGAATTTTTTTCTATAGAAAAAAAGTCGTTCGGTGGACTCACGAATTTTTTTCTATAGAAAAAAAGTCGTTCGGTGGACTCACGAATTTTTTTCTATAGAAAAAAAGTCGTTCGGTGGACTCACGAATTTTTTTCTATAGAAAAAAAGTCGTTCGGTGGACTCACGAATTTTTTTCTATAGAAAAAAAGTCGTTCGGTGGACTCACGAATTTTTTTCTATATAAAAAAAGTCGTTCGGTGGACTCACGAATTTTTTTCTATAGAAAAAAAGTCGTTCGGTGGACTCACGAATTTTTTTCTATAGAAAAAAAGTCGTTCGGTGGACTCACGAATTTTTTTCTATAGAAAAAAAGTCGTTCGGTGGACTCACGAATTTTTTTCTATAGAAAAAAAGTCGTTCGGTGGACTCACGAATTTTTTTCTATAGAAAAAAAAGTCGTTCGGTGGACTCACGAATTTTTTTCTATAGAAAAAAAGTCGTTCGGTGGACTCACGAATTTTTTTCTATAGAAAAAAAGTCGTTCGGTGGACTCACGAATTTTTTTCTATAGAAAAAAAGTCGTTCGGTGGACTCACGAATTTTTTTCTATAGAAAAAAAGTCGTTCGGTGGACTCACGAATTTTTTTCTATAGAAGTAAAAAGTCGTTCGGTGGACTCACGAATTTTTTTCTATAGAAAAAAAGTCGTTCGGTGGACTCACGAATTTTTTTCTATAGAAAAAAAGTCGTTCGGTGGACTCACGAATTTTTTTCTATAGAAAAAAAGTCGTTCGGTGGACTCACGAATTTTTTTCTATAGAAAAAAAGTCGTTCGGTGGACTCACGAATTTTTTTCTATAGAAAAAAAGTCGTTCGGTGGCCTCACGAATTTTTTTCTATAGAAAAAATGTCGTTCGGTGGCCTCACGAATTTTTTTCTATAGAAAAAAGGTCGTTCGGTGGCCTCACGAATTTTTTTCTATAGAAAAAAAGTCGTTCGGTGGCCTCACGAATTTTTTTCTATAGAAAAAAGGTCGTTCGGTGGCCTCACGAATTTTTTTCTATAGAAAAAAGGTCGTTCGGTGGCCTCACGAATTTTTTTCTATAGAAAAAAGGTCGTTCGGTGGCCTCACGAATTTTTTTCTATAGAAAAAAGGTCGTTCGGTGGCCTCACGAATTTTTTTCTATAGAAAAAAGGTCGTTCGGTGGCCTCACGAATTTTTTTCTATAGAAAAAAGGTCGTTCGGTGGCCTCACGAATTTTTTTCTATAGAAAAAAGGTCGTTCGGTGGCCTCACGAATTTTTTTCTATAGAAAAAAGGTCGTTCGGTGGCCTCACGAATTTTTTTCTATAGAAAAAAGGTCGTTCGGTGGCCTCACGAATTTTTTTCTATAGAAAAAAGGTCGTTCGGTGGCCTCACGAATTTTTTTCTATAGAAAAAAGGTCGTTCGGTGGCCTCACGAATTTTTTTCTATAGAAAAAAGGTCGTTCGGTGGCCTCACGAATTTTTTTCTATAGAAAAAAGGTCGTTCGGTGGCCTCACGAATTTTTTTCTATAGAAAAAAGGTCGTTCGGTGGCCTCACGATTTTTTTCTATAGAAAAAATAAATCAGGGATCTTCGCGAATTTTTTTCTCTCAGAAAAAAGTAGATCGCAGGCTTCCGATATTCATTTCTATGTATATTGAAGGAACGGGACTCTTGTCCCCTATCTGGTGATTTTATTGAGAGTGACTATTTACAACTTTCACACTAGACAAGAAAACTTAGGTCACTTACCTGAATATTTAGATCCCTCATAGCGACGCTTCGAAGGTGATTTGCGACTGTAGCCATTCATATCGTACGATGGAGTTAATACGTTCTGCAAAAGAGAAAAAAAATATCGAAAATATTAGTTTTATATTTGTACAAAATTTTTAAAAAGGTGCAACAAAAATATTCAAACTTAAAAGTGCGAAAATTAGTATCCTAAGCAAAAAAAAAATCGAGGGTATTCAATTTCAAATTATAATTGAACATCAATCACAGAAAACAAAAACTAGGATCAATGGAAAATAGTTTGCAATTCTGTTTGATTTTTCCGCATGATTTGTCATGGTGGTGGTCTAATTATGGACCTTAGTGTATGTGTTTGTTCGTTGAGTTCGAAACCAGCTAACCATCATCGACCAATTTCCGTTTCCTGTTTTTGCGTTCTTTCCCCACCACCAATTATTTATTAATTAATTTTCGCTGTTCTAATTGTTGATGTTCGCTGCGGAGTTTTTCTGTGTGTTTGAAAACTTTTCAATTGATTGTCGAATCGAGAGAACAAAAACTTTACAAATATTTGTTGCAGAATCGGACAATTTGCATTTTACAAGATGTGGATATTTAAAAAATGAACAAATTGTGTGCTAATCCAATTAAATATGTATTTGTTTAAGGCAACTGCTAATAGAAATTGTTCGGAAAACAAAAACATGCATAAAAGCAAACGTATTTGGTAGCCCGAACACTGGGGAGTATAATTGATATTAATTATGTGGGCCATGCGGCGTATACATTATGGAAAAGTGACAGTATGTATACGTAGGATTAAAAATAAGCCTGGATTTTTTTTTTAATATTGTTTTAAAGTAAATTTGGCGTACGGGAAGATAGATACCAAGCAACGGCTCTGATTGGCTTTAACATGGCGAAGCCCAGGCTTATCTTGGTCCTTCATTCATCTCAATTGTGGACACTGACCTCCCCATGGTGCCTCCTGGGGTAGCTATTTTCATCACCAGTTGAAATAGTGAGTTCACACATAAGAACTAAAAAAAAATGAGTTCAGCCGTCGGGTTAGTTGCCTATACTCGGAAAACCCCTCCTACTATGAAAAAGCAAAGAAAGAGAAAACCAAACCCCCTAATGTTGACGACCCCCGCAAAAGTATAAAGAACCACGATCTGCGAAACTGCACTTGGAATGTGCACACATTGTACAGAACAGCCGCAATTCTCGCTTTGGCGGATATACTCAAGAAGTACAAAGCCGATATTATTGCCTTACAGGAAATGCGTTGGAAATGGACAGGCGTAAGTAAATCAGACGATTACGCCCTGTATTATAGCTGCCATGAAACGAGACATGAATTTGGCTGCGGATTTATGGTTAACAGGAGAATAAAAGACCTCGTCTCCAGATTCACTCCAGTATATAAGCGAATTGCTATAATCCGCATAAAAGCGAAGATCTTCTACATCAGTCTTATTTGCGCCCATGCTCCGACCGAAGACAAAAATGAACAGACCAAAGACATATTTTATGAGCGCCTAGAAACAGCATATGATCGCTGCCCTGGCCATGACGAGACATGAATTTGGCAGCGGATTTATGGTTAACAGGAGAATAAAAGACCTAGTCTTCAGATTCACTCCAGTAGATGAGCGAATTGCTATAATCCGTATAAAAGCGAAGTTCTTCAACATCAGGCTTATTTGCGCCCATGTTCCAACCGAAGACAAAGATGAGCAGACCAGAGACATATTTTATGAGCGCCTAGAAACAGCATATGATCGCTGCCCTGGCCATGACATTCTGAAATTCTGCTAGGAGATTTTGATGCAAAAATCGGAAGAGAAAATATCTTTGGCCCCACCGTCGGAAAATTCAGCCTCCATAAAGAAACATCAGACAACGACATGAGGTTGATTGACGGCAGCAAAAATCATGGTAGTTAACAGCACCAGATTCAAGCCTCTCGATATGCACAAGGCCACTTGGATTTCTCCCGGTCAAGCAACGAGAAATCAAATTGATCATGTTGTGATAGACGGAAGGCATTCATCCAGTGTATTAGACGTTCCACCGATCCGAGAAGCGAATATCGATTCGGACCACTATTTTGTAGCAGCCAAGGTTCGCACTTGTCTTAATGTTGCAGCAAAGGTGAGATCTAACACAACACGGAACCTCGATGTCAAAAATATGCAAACACAACAGGTAGTCAAGGCCTACTCGGCTCAACTTACCCACCTGCTTGACGAACGCACTTCTTGTCCCGATAATAGTATAAAAGCACAATGGCAAAGAATTGCCCACTCCCTATAAACTGCAGCAAAGCAATGCTTGGGTACCAAAAACAACCATCACGAAACCCATGGTACGATCAGGAGTGTCGTAATGCTACTGATGTGAAAAATGCAGCCTATAGGACAACCCTGCAGACAGTAGCAACACACAATGTAATGGAGAATTATCGGAAGAAAAGGAGAGAGGAGAAACGTGTTTTCAGAAAACAGAAGAAAGAACAAGAAAAACGTGAGCGTGAGCAAATTGAGATGTACAGGAGTCAGAATGAAGTCCGGAAATTTTACCGACGAGTAAAACACCAAACAGAAGGCTTTGGTGCAGGCACATCCTCCTATAGAGATGAAGAAGGAAACCTGGTGACAGATACAGACAGCGCATTGAGGATCTGGAAGGATCATTTTGAAAAGCTTCTGGTATCAAATAGTGACGTTGAAGAAGATACCCCAGAAGCAATAAGAGATGTCGGTATAGAATGTAATGCCACCTAGCCAAGATGAGGTCAGAATAGCAATTAATCGACTGAAGAACTATAAAGCAGCAGGAGCCAAGGGTTACCAGCCGAACTATTCAAGACTGGTGGTCAGATGCTGGTCAGGAGCATGTACCATCTGATTAGTACAATTTGACGGTATAGAATGTAATGCCACCTAGCCAAGATGATGTCAGAATAGCAATTAATGGGTTAAAGAACAATAAAGCAACAGGAGCCGATGGGTTACCAGCCGAACTATCCATGACTGGTGGTCTGATGCTGGTCAGGAGCACGAACCAGCTGATTAGTACAATTTGGCTAGAGGAATTTTGGCATGTCCAATGATTGGAATCTTAGTATCCTGTGTCCCGTGCACAAAAAAGGAGACAAGACGATATGTGCCAATTATAGAGGAATTAGCCTTCTTCCCATCGCATATAAAGTGCTATACAGTGTGTTGTGCGAACGATTGAAGAGAATTGTCAATGACATTATTGGACCATACCAATGCGGCTTCAGACCTGGCAAATTAACCAGATTTTCACTCTGCGCCAAATCCTGGAAAAATCCACGAAAAACACATCGATACATACTACCTATTCGTCGACTATAAAGACGCCTTCGACAGCCCTATCCGTTCAGAGGTGTTTAAAGCCTTGTCTACGTTCGGCATTTCTGCAAAATCAATACGGCTATGCAGGATAATTTTCACTGGCACAAGATCAGCAGTTAAAGTCGGAAAGGACCTATCGGAGCCCTTCAATACCGAACGAGGATTCAGACAAGGTGACAGTTTGTCTTGTGATTTTTTTAACATCTTGCTGGAAAAGGTCATACGAGACGCAAAGGTGAACAGAAATGGCACTCTGTATACCAAGTAACACATGTTACTCGCCTACGCCGAACATTGCGAGCGGGTCGAACATTGCGAGCGGTAACAGCTACCTTTGAACGAATTGAAAAGGAGTCTGTCAAAGTGGGTCTGCCAGTAAACGGCGAGAAGACCAAGTTGATGGTATCAACGCGCAAGGCGTCCAGTAGACTCGGACCAATTGTGGAACTTGAGAACTACAGCTTTGAGGTAGTTAAAGATTTTATCTACATTGGTACCGCCATAAATAAAACCAATGACATCAGTCTTCGGAAATTCGAAGAAGGATTGTGGTGGCCAACAGATGCTACTATGGTCTAAGTAAACTGTTAAGAAACAAGGCCACCTCCGCCAGACCAAACTCACACTTTACAAGACGCTGATTCTACCCGTGCTGTTATATGGATCTGAAACATGGGTACTTGCGCAACCAGATGAGGCAGCTCTTGGAGTGTCTGAGAGAAAAATTCTCCGAAAGACCTACGGGTCGATCTCGACGTCGACGGTGAATATCGGCGTCGAATGAACCATGAGTACCAGTACCAGCTATTCTCGGACATCGATATTGTTAGACGTATTGAACTGCAGCGACTACGATGGCTAGGCCATGTTGTGCGAATGAATGCCCCAGCTCAAAATACATATATAAGCGAGCCTACTGATGGTTCACATAGAAGAGGAAGGCCACGTATAAGATGGGAAGATCAAGTGAAAGACAACATTGCCGAATATGATCTTTCAAATTGGAAAAACTGCGCAAAAGACCGACGCACCTGGAAATCTTTAAGCTCGGTATATGGAACATCTGTTCTGTAACAAGCCATCTAAGTAAGTGGTCTTCAGGTCGGTCTGTTGATAGTCCTTGAAAAAGTCGTTTTAAAAAATCCACGCCTGTTGATAGTCCTTGAAAAAGTCGTTTTAAAAAATCCACGCCTGTTGATAGCCCTTGAAAAAGTCATTTCAAAAAAATCCACGCCTGTTTATAGTCCTTGAAAATTCCTTTTTGAAAAATCCACCCCTGTTGATAGTCCTTGAAAAAGTCGTTTTAAAAAATCCACGCCTGTTGATAGTCCTTGAAAAAGTCGTTTTAAAAAATCCACGCCTGTTGATAGTCCTTGAAAAAGTCGTTTTAAAAAATCCACGCCTGTTGATAGTCCTTGAAAATTCCTTTTAAAAATGCCACGCCTGTTGATAGTCCTTGAAAATTCTTTTTTGAAAAATCTACGCCTTTTGATAGTCCTTGAAAAAGTCATTTTAAAAAAATCCACGCCTGTTGATAGTCCTTGAAAAAGTCGTTTTAAAAAATCCACGCCTGTTGATAGTCCTTGAAAAGGCCTTTTTAAAAATCCACGCCTGTTGATAGTCCTTGAAAAAGTCGTTTTAAAAAATCCACGCCTGTTGATAGTCCTTGAAAAAGTCGTTTCAAAAAAATCCACGCCTGTTGATAGTCCTTGAAAAA